TATTGACATCAATTCATGAAATAGTAGTTCAATAAAATTTTGAACGCAAGTCAACAAATGAGATGACTTTGCTTTTCACCCATGACCCGTCTCAAAAGGGTTAACCCTGTATGCTCTGCAGGGTCAAAGAACACATGTCCTGACCATTTGTAGAGTTACATTCAAAATTCAATTAAGCAACTTTATTATCAATGTATTTCAGAAAACTTGGTATCAAACCATAGTTCATGATTCGATACCCAAGTTTTAATATTATAATTTCGAAAGGAAACATTTAAAAAATTCTCAATTTTCACTTATGTATCACATGGACATCTGAGTTTCAAGTTCTCCTTTTCAGAATATTCCTACATCAAAAACAAGCTGCTGAGACTAACAACCAAGTAGAGGCACAAACATATTGAGAAGTTAGAATATAAAATGTAAACCTCCTACCTTTTCAGATTGCCAAGATATAGATATATTTGGGACACCCACTGGTGTAGTTCTTCCCATCTTATCATAGTTTTAATAAATTTCTCTTTACTGTGTGCCCTTATTTGATGAGAATATTTGTAACCAAGAGTGAGCTTTTGTCTAGTAGTATCTTATTATGGTTATTTATTTATTTAAGGCAGGCAGATGTAGACACTTGCCTCCAATGGCTTATGTGTGATCATTTTTAGTTCAGCTTCAAGTAGCTAATAGTATTTGTGTAACCTATTTATAGCTTAGTTAGAAATTTACTTAAATTATAGTAGTTTTTGGACATTCTTTTCTAGTGCCTGACAAATATTTGAAAGCTACATGAATTTTTATTTGAAGAAAGAAATTAGTGAAAAAAATGTGGAGCCTAGCACAGTTAAAGTTTTTACTTGCAAAGATCATGCATGTTACGAACTATTCTCATGGGGTTACAGTATATGTGATTTTTATTGTTTTTGATGGGAGGATTATTGCTAAAGTGAGTATGAATTACGTGTCAGTTGTGTAATATTTTACCAGTCTCCCATTACTGTGATTTTTAGTTTAAAGAGGACAACAGAATATGAATAACCTTTCATTATGAATCTTTGTGTATTGTAACCCATATGGCTTGTTGAAATCTGACTTTCAGAAAAAGGCTTCAATTTTAGTGACATACAACAGATAAGGTACATATGTTTGAAATGTTATTATACACTTCTTACCAAAAAACCATAATGGGTTAGATAAGAAGAATGTGATAACTACAAAATTATTAACACACTTAATTGTGATGGAATATTACATCTCATACCAAGTAGTAGAATAGAGTATTTTTGTAAAATTAGGTAAGAGCACACTGTGAAGTTGCTAATGGAAAAACGTTTTATCAGCATAAGGTTATTTTTATGTCAGTAAAAATGTAGTAGAAGCTACTAATAGAATTATATTTTCATGGGACCAGTTTCTTTTATTATGTGGAACATTTGTCTTTAAACTCTTTTTTTTTAGAAGTACAGTAGCTGTAACCGTACATTTTAGCTATGACGTGGTGTACTGAGACCCATAAAATGTTTATTGGAGTCTGTAAAGTACTGAACACTTTATTTTTTAACATAACATAATGTTTAGGGACAACAAGGGACCTAATGGTCCATTTAGGCTGTTTCATCCTTTAAAGTAAATTAAAACTATTAAATAAATAAAACCTCAAATCCAGCCCTAATCATTCATATAGTTAAAAAGCTTTCTCTTAAACTCACTTAAATTTACCGTCTCCACAACATCCGAAGGCAAACTGTTAGAAAAATTGTCTTAGCTGAAAATGACTCCTACTCTGCCAAAATTTATGTATCCCCTAGTCCTACTATTCTAGCCATTAAGTATGAAAAACGATGATGCATCAAACACTATCAGTTCCCTTCACAATCTTAAACACCTCAATCAGATCCTATAACTCTTCATTTTCAAGAGAAAACAGTTTTGGAGATCTTAACCTCTCGTCATATGACAACCTCTCCATCCTAAGCACCATTTTAGTAGCCCACCTCTGAACCCTTTCCAGCAATTCAATTCCTAAGGTAAGTGTGCAATACTTACACAATACTCCAAGTGTGGCCTAACCAGTGACCTATACAATGAAATTGTAACCTCTTGAGACTTGTATTCAATATTTCTGTAGATACAACCCAAAATCCTATTTGACCTACCACTAGCAACAGCACACTGCTTGGATGACCTGAGAGACTGATCAACCACTACTCCAAGATCCCTTTCTTTGATAACCCTTTTAAGGTTATTCCCATCCACATTATACTTATAATTCAAATTATGATAACCCATATGCATTATTTTGCCTTTATTATAATTAAAACCCATCTGCTCTTTATTTGCCCAACTTACAAAATGATCTAAATCCTTTTGTAAATCAGCAGCATCCTCTTCACAGCTAGCAACACTCAAGACCTAACATCATCAGCAAATTTAAGTAATTTATTGACCATTGCTTCATCTATGTCATTGATGTAAAACAAAAAGATCAAAGGTCCTAAGACAGCCCTGAGTTACCCCACTTATGGCATGAATCCAGTTTGACCAAACTCAATTTATAACAACCCTCTACCTTCTTCCATTTAGCCACTCTTCTATCCAATAAGCTATTTTATCCCCCATGCTAGGAATTTTTAATGGCTCAGAAATTGCACATAGGATCTCTGTTTATAGAATAAAGAGGAAGATTCAGTTAATAATAGGCTATTTATTTGATGTCTTTTGTTAACCAGGTATTAGAATCTGTTGTTAAGAAAAGTTGGCATATATGTAATGATTCAATAAATATGCTTACTTGCTAAACCAAATTGTGGTTTTTTTTTTGGTAGGATGTCTATTGTTTTGGATAGGGACTTTTAGAAAGCATGTGATGTCTCATAAAAGATTAATTGTTCTATGAGAAAGTTAAGAACTAGACATAAAATTGGCTGAGTGGTAGAAAGTAATGATGAATGGGCATTTTTCTAAGTAGGAAAATGTGACTATGTGGGTCTATCAGGTATTTATTTTATAGGCCTTTTGTCATTGTTTATTTATGTGAATAATTTGGATAGCTTCTTGTACAGTAATATTTCTAAATTTTATGATGATGCATGAATGCTGGGAATTACTGATTTTGTTGGAATGCCTCTCTTATCCAAAATTACCATAAAAGTCTTATAGAATGAGCAAGAACACTGAAAATGAGTCTTATTCTTAAGTTTAAAGTTATGTACTTGGGTTATGGAAACTTGGAACAATTACTGGTGTTGTATTGAAGAAAGGTAATAAGTTTATGTTTTAGAATCCTGGATCCAGAGTTGTTTTCAGATACTTTTTTTGCTTAATACAAACTTAATGGAATGGTTCTCATGACGTTTTGGTTTGTGTGGTAATATATAATTTGAATTATTTTAAAAGTTTGTTAGATGAGGTGTGTTGAAATGAAGAACTATGGTTAAGTTGGTTTTCAAAATGAAATAAAGCAAGATTTTTTAATATTTGAATTTGTTACTCCTTAAGAGAATGACATCGTTGGACCAAATGGCTTCTGACACCTTGATTTTTATTATGTTCTTATATACAATAGTTGAAAAATAAGAAGGGTCACAAGTGAGGGAAAAAAGCTGGAATACTATGTACAAAATTTTAACAAATAGAAAATATTGGTATTAACTGAAATAACTTTTTTCATGAATATTCTTTCTGTTTTTGTACTTAGGATTCTGAAAATGGTTTATTTATCTGTTTAAATACATTCTTGGGCTTTGGACACAATCATGTAGAAAGGCACTATCAGAAAACAGGGAATGCTGTTTATTTGCATATAAAAAGAATCAAGAAAGAGGTGAGTTATTTAAATTACAGTCAGCAACAAAACATTATCCTTCATAAAACTAGACAAACAGAATAAACTTGCTCCAGAATACAGCTTTGCAGTGAATGTATACTTTTAAACTCAACCAATCTTATTTTGTAGAAACTATTTTTAATTTATATCATTTATTGGAGATTAATAATATCAAATCTTTAGTATTAGAGAACTTTTTTTTTTCTGGTTTGCTATATTTGTTTCTCAATATTACATGTATTTTTTTGGTAACTTATATTTGTCCTTTTTTTTTTTTCTTAAGTTGAAACAAGACAATGGTTGTGGTGATGAAACAAAAAAACCAACAAGATTAGCTATTGGTAAGTAATTTCCAAAATGAGTTACATGAATAAAATATAATACTACTTAGGACAAAACTGCCTACAATTTATCATCAAAAAATGCACATATCATACAGTTGTCAAAAACCAAGGAAATGTAGAACACACATAATGATGTATTAGAGTGAGGACCTACATGTAAAGTAGAAATAGTGGTGTTAGCTGCAGTATAGATGTAGGAAGAATTGCAGAAGTAACTAGCTTTATCTGTGGTTGGTTCAGTTGCCTGCTGAAAAATAGTGACGTTACTGCCTTGACTTCAAGTAAATACTTTTGCTACTACATTGAGAATCAGTAATGTGGTTCAGTACCTATTGTAATGCTGGTTTGCCTACTTTAGTGTTCATATGTAATGGTACAGATTATAGGCCTTCTTGTGAGAAATTTGTTTCATAAAAATAGTTAAATGTTTCCTTGTATATTAGATATAAATATAATTTCATGCAATTTTAATGTACTGTACTTACTTTATTGAAACAAGTATGTCATGCAATTTTAATATACTGTACTTGCTTTATTGAAACAAGTATGTATGAGACCAGATGTAGTAGAAACCAATTGTACATTAAGTAAAATGATGAGTACAAAAAAAAACTGCCCCATTGGACAAAAAGCAGAAAATGTGACCCGTCCACTTAACCACACACAAGATGGATGACAGTACATTGCACATTGATACAAGGATGTTTTCTGCCACAAAATTAATGATGTGGTTGTGTCCAATAGTGGACATATTTGGTACTTACTTTTTTTCTTTATGTTCAAAGTGATATTCTGATATGATCACTCACCTCCATACACAGAAAGCTTTTTTCCTCTTGAAATTGCACTGATCTGCCTAAGAGACTTGCATGTCACAAACCTTGTGAAAACTCCCACTTAAAATTTACATGAATCATGTGAAATTGAGCTACTGCAATAGGAGTGCAACACACCTCCTTGCACAAATGCACCCTCTTCATTCGAAAGTGAAATACTTCATTCTTTTCCTCTGCATGGTTGTGCTTAGACGTGTATATGTTTGCCGAGATTTCTTAAACTACTTTAACAAATTTCCTATGTATTTTCAACATTTCAGTATGAATTCAAAGATTAACAGAACTCTTTTTTTTCTGCTGATATGAGTTAAAATATCACTCACTGTTATCCAAATACTTAAAAAGTTCTTGCCTGTTGAAATAGTGACAGTCATCGTGTATTGCAAACGGTGCTGCTGTTCAGATTAAAAATACAGTAAGAAGAAGAGTAATGTCCTATCATCCACTATGTGGAGAGTTCCATGTTATCACCTGGACCTTCTTCTTCCATCTCTGCCACACATTTCTCTTTACAGATTTTGAAGCTGAAATTGAGGAGGATGGAATGGATTGACTTTCCACCCAATACTTCTTTATCTACTGAATATCTCTTGACTTTCCCACTTAATGTAAGCCTTCTACTTGCTGTTTCTTTCTTCTCTCCTGTTAGTTCCACCCCAGCATTTTCTTTGGGGTTCAATTCACTCCTGCTGTTTTGTGCCTCATCATGTCTTACTAGGTAACACATAGATGCTACTGTTTGGATATAGTTTATTCCTCATTAACATGTAACTCATAGGACTTAATGTTTAGACATTGTTTATTACTCCTCAACATGTCCATATATGATATTTCATTTCGAACTAGTTCATTACTCTGTAACCTTACAACTACTGGTACGCTCTTTAAATTCCTTTCTGCACATCACAAAGTGTTACTGCATTATCTTCAAAATTTAATTAAAGCACAATACTATCAATGTAGTTTAATGAACTTAACATTATCAAGTACATTATGATTCAAAGTTTTATATTATGTAAGTTTTAATTCCTTTATTTCAAAAGAAACATCTAAAATAATAATTAAATCTTCAGTTTTCTTGTCACATGACATGCTCCTGGTTAAAAATATCTTAGATTTTTTCTTTTATTCCAACTGTATTGTGCCTTAGTACAAATTTTACCCAGACAGTCAAAGTACATACATATACTGCATGTTTGCCACTAACTAGGTCGAATTCCAAGAACTCAGTTCCAAGAGTGACAATGTGAAAGTTCTCCCCCACCAGTAGGAGGATGTTGCTTAGCAACAGATTAGATTTGAATGGCATGCTTATAACTAATAGACAGAGCAGATTTGATAATATATATTTCCTCTACATTTTTTGCGATCTTACACAATGTAAAAGTTGACTATTGAAGGTGTACAGTTGCCAAGTGCATTCTTGGAGATTCTTATTCCGAGGATTTGACTATTTTTTCTTGCCATAGACATATTAGTTTGATAGATAGTTGAGTTGCACTTAGGTTTTACTTTAATATTTTAGTTAATTACATAGTATTTGTGTTTTAAAATTAATATTTGAAAGGTTTAATGATTTTTATTATTTATTCTATGCTTTGCCTCATTCAACATGTGTTCTATAAATAAGCGAGTGCAAACACTTTTGCTGCAGGTTAAACCATCTCTGCCAAAGATAATGTTATATCACCCATGGGGCACCCGTTGATGTGTGTCAACATAAATAATCAACAATAAAGAATACAAAAGGAAAATTAAATATTGAAAATAAACTATAAGTAAAAAAATAAAGATGTGAAATTACACATATGACTCAAAGAAGATATTCTAAGATTATTCAAAGAAAAGTTAAAAGGTATGTACATACTTTTATTTCTTAATTTTAAATATTTTCTTGCATTGTACATTGATGATAATAATAGAGTTAGTAATAGAGGAAATGGAAAATAAAATAAAAAATTTAACTTAAAAAACTTTAATATTCGTTTACGAGGTTTTAGAGTTTATGCAAGTGAAATGTGAAAGATGATAAATAGTACTTTTATACTTAACATGAAAATCACCTTTTGGGTGAACTACTCGTAGTCTGAGAGCAAATAACTACAATAAATAACGAATTTTCATTACAAATAGTAGAAAAATCAAAATTATTTTATTTTTTGAAACTACATACTTTTAGGAAAGTTCTTGTCAAATTTCAAATAATTTCAATCACTGGTTTTATTTTTGGAATAAAATATGACGAGGGCGATACTATCTATGGAAAATGCCTATAGCCGCTGGTCATAGGATTAACTTGTACTATCTATACTATAATATTTAATCATAGTTACTTATACCTTACCATATACCACTTAGTATATTATGTTTAGCAATAGTTCGTCTCTCTTTCACATGTACACACATAGACTTTGTTGATTGGTCATATTTTCTTATTCCTTACCATGTAAACATAGATATTAATGATTAGTTGCAGTTAGTTGCTCTTTCTCATATAACACATAGTCATTGATATTTAATTCTCATTTATTACTCTTTCATATGTCCAAATGGAAGATAATGTTCACATCTCATTCATTACTTCACGTATATTCTTGGTAGATAATGCTGAGTCTTAATTGATTATACCTTGTCATATATACATAACTATTAATATTTGATCCTAATTCCTTATTCTTTGACATGTATACCTAGATGAAAATGTTTGCTCCTGTTTATTCCTTCTTTGCTTGTACACATGAAAGATAATGCTTAGTTTTGGACCCTGATCATCCTGATCATCACCTATTTTTTCACTTTCGTCTTACCCTATCGACTCTCCTATGATGCTTGACTACCATCCACCTCCTTTCTGAGGTAATCTACTGAGATCCTGAAGGTTTTTCAAGGATATCTTCTTCCTGATGACTTCTTTGTTGGCACGTTTTTTTATTTGTCTCTTTTATTACACACATGGTTTCTCTGTTGTTGGGATCTTCTGAGGAGGGACACTGTTTTGTCCCAGGTTTGTTTAATTCCAACTTATATGCAGGACTTAAGTATGTCCCTTTTTCTCCAACATTATATTTTTGGTATAATTCCTGAGACTTTGGAATCCCATGTGGAATTGGTGAGACAACAAAAAACCCTTTCTTCTTTGGTGTATCATTTGTTTTATTCAGAGCCTACACAAGCCCCTATTACTGTTTCCCGTCCCACTCCTTCCAGCCCTTACTTGTTCCTACCTCTAGGGGTTCCTCATCTTGTCATATTATTTGATGCAGATGGACATGTCACCAACAGTACCGGTGGGATCAGGTCCAGTGGGAGCTTGCTTGACTGATTTTGCTTCCCTTTGGCGAATTTTCGCCACAGATCTGTGGGTTATTCGGGTATTATCTGAGGGACTTGTCATCCACTTCATTTCCCCTCCTCCATTGTTTCGGGTACCCGTATCCTTTTCATTGCCATAGGATCCTACCTCCAGTCAACATCTGTCTGATCTTCTCTCCCAGAATGCCATTGAACCTGTCACTCATCCTTATTCATGTTTTTATTCCAGGCTATTTGTGGTACCCAAGAAAACCAGGGACTGGTGGCTTGTGATGGATTTGTCTTGCCTCAATCAATTTTAGTTCTACCCCGATATACTATGGAGTCTTCTCACCCTCAGATGGTCTTTTTCTCCAGGTTTGTGGATGACCAAGTTAGATGTCGCGAATGCTTATCTGCATGTTCCAATATCTTATCTGTTGAGGTGCTTTATTGCGTTTGTTCATCATGAGATAGTTTATCAATTCTGACCCTGTCCTTTGGGCTTGCTTCAGCCCCATATGGCTTTTGTCATGTGGTCAAGTCTTTTGCCTGACATTTGCATGCTTGAGGGTTGCACTTGCATCATTACATGGACAACTGGCTTCTGTTAGCTCGTTTTGAATGGGAGTCTACCCATCACGCTCATCTACTGCTCCTGGAGGTAACTTAAGTGGGTTGACTAATCAAATTGAGGAAGTAATTTTTTATACTTACCCAGTGTCTTGGCTACTTGGGTGTCTTTTTTTCAACACTCATCTCAGTCGGGCCCAGCTTTCTCCTCTTCGACTTCATTCGATGGAGCTTTCAGTTCTTCACAGTCTTATTGCTCCCTCTCTCTTACAGCTCACGAAGTTCTATTGCTTTTGG